GAGTGACACGTGGCAAGTCACACGTGTGGGATAGTGAAAGTGATATGACGAGACGAGAGTGGGCTGTCATATAAATGCTCTCACCAACCGTTTGCTTTAGCATTCTTTTGTGATCTGACTTCACTCTTCTCTCTCTCCTTAAAACCCACCACCACCTGTCTCTCATCAGATCAAACCCTTCTTTTATTTATTTCCTTCTTACAAATTTTTGGAGTTTCTCAAAACTTTTATGATTTATCATCCTTAATTTATAGTAACACTTTTTGTTGAAGTTCATAAAACTTACATTGCAAAATCAATATCATTAACCTAAATTTCTAAGTTCTAAACTTCTAATAGCCATTTAAATCGTGTGGAAGTTTACCACCGTCAAATTTCAATTTCGATTTCTTCTCTCATCATATGTGTGATATAGCATTAAAGATTATTAGTAAATTTACTTTTCTTATTCATAAACTGAACAAATAAAGATGTAAAATAAATTTAGTTTTAAAAAGCTACATTAAAAGTTATAATATGATAATTTTAATAAAACAAAAATTATTTCAAATGATACGTTTTTTGTGAAACGGAAGAAATATATCGCAAAAGAAAAACAAGTGATTAAAAACCAAGTAAATTTTAAAGTAGTAGTGATACCAATATCCTTCCAAAAGTTGTCTCACAGTGTTTCCAGTTCGATTTTTACTTGAAAGAAGCTATTACAGCTTTCATAGAAAGATATACATGATTCATCCTAAAATGTTCAATTACTAATAATAAAAAGAACAAATAGTGAAATGTATTTTCGTCTATATTTTATAAAATAATTAGTTTATTATACTAACATCCTACATAAAAAGTAAAAACCCTTCTAAACATATTTTCTATTAAAAAACTTTTAATTCTTACCCTATTTTTTCTTTCCCCAGTTCATCACAATATTTAAAAAATCACAAAACAACTAAACTATGGATAATTTATCATTGCAAAATTTAAATTTCTCCATTCTCATTATACTGGATGATTTCCTAACAAATTTGAACTCACGAGTTACAACAATCTTTATATATATGTTAAAATTTGAGCTTTGAATATGGTTTTTAACTTTTAACCAATCACGACTAAAATTGTTGGATCGCGAGTAATTTGACTTTTATATACTCCAAAAAATACACATAAAAAAGACCAACGAAATAGACTTTATTGATATATATTATATAATGACTTGATCTAACAGAGCATGTATCTAGTTGCTACTAAAAAATGTTCAATTTAATCAGAAAAAATATTCTGACTTTCAAATAATCTATAGTCGACAACAAACAGTTTTCTCTGTCCACAGCCAGATAGTTTACATTACATAATCGACAATAATAGAACTTTTAGCAAATTTGAAGTCACGAAATACAACAACCTGCGTTATTTGAAAGCTTGGAATTCGAACATACAATTTAATTAAATTTTATAATACTAGATCAAAGATGTTTCAATAGTTTTCTTTATATTTTATAATACTAGATCAAAAATGTTTCAAGATGTTATAATTTAAAGTTTTTTTTTTTGTGTGTGTGTCATTTGATTCTCTAAACTCGGAAAATGACAAACGAAGTCATAGACCGACTTGATTTTAAATAATGACGCGATCTAGAGGCGCACGTAGCTACTATATTATCTTGGATTCAATTATTTTTGTCGACAATCCATAAATTTGATAGGACTTAACAAAAGTCAAATTTTGTTGACTGAAACTAAAAAGTTTAGTCGGATCGAGAGAGATAGAGATGGCTACAAACAAATGAAATAAAAAGAATGGGATCATCACTATCTCTATCAAATCAATGTGACAAAAATCTCAATCATATATATACTCGTTAGGTACGTTTCTTTATATTAATTTTTGTCTTTTTTCTCTAGAGATTAGATCGATTCCAATCTCTCCAGTTCTCTACCGACAAATATACCTTAAATTAATGCAACATTTTATTTTTACGATCTCTGTCATATCAGATTCTTCCCTTTTCCTCTCCTTCAAGCACACGAATGGATAGTATGTGCACACGAATGGATAGTATGTATAAACCATTTATCTACCTAGCAAAGACAAAATTTGTTTTGTTAGAGCGTAATTCGCCCAAATATGATATTTTCAGCATAACAAAACAAGTGGACAATCGACTTACTCAACATGGACAAATTTTTGAAAATGGTATAATATATCAATGCCTCACTTTGAAAATATTCATAGGTGTAGAAAAGAAATTTTTTGAAGAAGGATGAAAATGTCAAAGTAAATTCAAAACTTTATATCTCTATTATGTGTAGTAATTTTTTACTCTAGTTTTTTGTTTCCAACATATTTTTTTTTTTAATTTAGTCTCGATTTTTATTTTGTTTGTTTTATGCAATATTGTTCAGCTATGCTATGTATTACAAATTTACAACCAATGACACCCATAAATAAAAACTCGAAACAGCAAATGTTATAAAAATCGAATAACATAACTAAATAAAAATCTTACCACTAAAATAATGATTTGACCGTCACAAAAATGATAACTGAAATTAGTAGTTTGATAATTTTAGTAGTGGATCACATTTAAATTCAAAAATATATGTGACGTAAGTTGTAAAATACAAAACCAAAAGATAGATAGTATTGAACATAAATCGGAATCGGGTATATTAGTAACATTAGAGAAAACAGTGAAATCACAAATTACTCTTCTACTCTATGATGGTTCAATGTATTACCACTCTAATTAGCTCTTATGGACGAAATTACTTCATGATAACTTACACATAAATACGATAATGTCAAGTTTAAATTTGATTACAAAAATAGAAATTTAGGTGAAGATATGAAGAAGGGTGCATGGGGGTTCCCCCACATCCACCTGCAAAAGTTATGATTGCATTTCAATCATTGCCCACGAGCGCAACCAACACGTCGCTCTCTTTCTCTTCAATTCATTTTAATTTCGATCTCTATCGTTTTTACTTTGCTCCATATATAAGTTTATATGTATTACAAAATTCTCATGCTTTGAATCATATATATATCGTCCCACTACTTTTTGGAATTAGTCATTGCTCACAATGTTTGACTCTTTTTCCTTCTATTCTTTTTGTCTTTACCTCCTCCATTTCAGAAAGGGTTTTGCTAGAATGGTGTTATGCTAAATGAATGATTAAATTCAAATAATATGGCTTTTAATGTAATCAAACTATTTAAAAAAAATAGACGCATTCGATGTAAAAATAGTTTTTGGATGAAAAAAGTTTCCATTTCTTAAATATATATATATGTGTTTCCGAAAAAAGTATTGCTCTTTATAACTTTTATCGACTAATTTGTAGCATATCACAATGCAGAGTTTGTTTTGTGTTTAATAGAAGGTATTTGCAAAAAATAAAAATTATTCTTGAGATTTTTTTTCCTACTCGCTCTCTATAGACAAAACATATTTTATATTCTTTATAGACAAACATAATTATGTAATTAGCAAAGAAAAACATAATTATGTAGAGAGAAAACCTAAGAAATGGAAAGAGGAGGGTAAACTTAAGATAGAAGCCCCATGAAGCAAATGATGTTAAGTAAAAGAAACAAAATTAAACTAACAAAAGTTATATGTATGTGTGGTTAATGGCAAACATTAGTAAGACAAATTCTAGATTGTTTTATAAAAAGAAATAATTTAAAATCATGGCTTGCATTTGACTGTAGTAAAAAAAGACTTTACAATATATATAAATAAACGACAAGTATTATTATAATTAAAAGAAAATAAAAGAAGAGAAAGAAGAGTGTTGAGTTGTTTGCTTGTTGGATCCTCTTTAAGTTTTCGCATGGGGTTAACATTATAGCAAATTCTCCTTTTACTTTCGGCTCTGGTCCCTTTCCAGATTTCATTTTTGTTATTATCATAATTTGTTTTTTTTTATCCACCGATCTTATATTTTATTTATATAAGCATTTCCAAGAAATAAAGCCAGTTGGGCTGAGATTTGTTTGCGAATGTTACTGCTCATGAATGTTAATGGGTCACTAAAATATTCAAATTCATCTCATGTGTTGTTACTTTCTTTCATCATAAGCAAATTTTGTTTGAACGTTGCCTAGTATTGCTAACAAAATTAACGATATATTATATAGTCTTATTCGGTTTCTTGGTGTATGAAAATGGCATTGACACTCCCAATAAGAAAACAAAAACATTCAAAACAAACTAAATTGAGTAACTACATCAAGAATTTTTTTTTAATCTCAAGCAAAACGATTATAAACCAAACGAAAACGTAAAAGATCGAATAAATCCTTTGGCTTACCTTTTATATTAGTAATGATTGTAATCTGTTTTACAATTCTAACACGAATACGACCCCTGAGCATGTGTCCCAACCAATAGTAATTCTGTTTTACAATTCTAACACGAATACGACCCTTGAGCATGTGTCCCAACCTAAGTAACAAGAGACGTGTTGTGTTTGTATATAATAATAATAATTCTAAAATAGATACAGATCATAATATAAACGTACGAAGTGTTGGACCTTGGATTTTCTTTTGAACAATCAAGTTTCTATAATTAATAGTTATATATCAATAGTAACGAAAGTCAATAACAAATTCCGTTGTCGTCCAGCGGTTAGGATATCTGGCTTTCACCCAGGAGACCCGGGTTCGATTCCCGGCAACGGAGCTTTTTAAAAATCTTTATTTTTTATTTCCTCATCATTAAATTATTTTAAATTCTATCAGCTACTATTGCCATCGATTCTACAAACCTCTTAACCTCTCTATAGCCCACGATATAATAAAAAGACGATTAATTATCAAATTAAGCATTTCTATAAGCGACCATATACAACTATTTTGATTTGTGCGAGTAACTGAACAAGTACTCTCCTCGATAATCGAAATTTACGACATTGTCCAAATAATTTCTATAACATGAAGTGATCTTATCTTATCGCAACTTATTTTATCACAAATCTGTATGCTTCCACGTACATAACCATGTAATGTTTATATATTAGATAAAATCATATGTAGAGTAGTACTGCATAAGAAGGAATAATCAATAGAACATCACAACTTTAAAGTTGGTTCGATTTGATAAGTAATATGACAACTTCAAAAGAGAAAAGATAGCAATCAAGTTCAGCGGTAACAAACAGAATTGCATCAGGTTTGATTTATAATAAGTAAACAAAAAAGATTCTTAAGTTTTAGAGTTTTAAACAACCGAATGAAACATCAACGAACATACTCTCGCGATTCTGATCTCTTAGACCGCTTGTACTCGCGTTCATATCTGAAGTCATCTTCCTCCATTTTATCGTAGCGATGACTGTACCGGTCTGTGTCCCCTGGATCTTCTTCGTAGTAGCCATGAGTTTCTTCTGGCTCGCCACGTTTGTACTCTGCATCTCTTTCACGGGACCGACCACCACCCTCATGCTCATATTCACCTCCTTCATAATCCCTCTCCTTCTTTCTACTACGGTCTCGGTCATGATCCCTTGAAGTACGATCCCGTCCCCTGTCACGGTCACGGCGGTCTCTGTCTCCTCTATCACGGGTCCGGTCACGATCACGTCTACTGTCTCTATCCCTGTCTCTGCCTCCTTGGTCTCGGTCTCTGTGGTGCTTATCCTCTCTCGGCCTGTCACGAGACCGCTCTCGAGGTTGTTCATGAGACAGCTCACGAGACCTTTCTCGTTCCCTTTCTTTTCCCTTTTCCCGAGATTTCTCACTGGAGACAAGGCAACAACATTATCAGCACAATATCAGTCACAAGGCAATTGAGTTTTAGTATGAATGAAAATATCTTTACCGCTCTTCCCTTGGTCTCGATGGCTCCTCTGACTGGGAGGTTCTTCCTTGCGGTTGTTGTTCCCCAACAATTTCTTCACCACCACCGACTCTTGAAGTCCCAAGTCCACCACCAAGCCTGCGTGGACGCCAGTTTGGGACGGTTCTACCTCTCTCAACATCAACCAAAACTCTTCTGCCGTCAATCTTTTGTCCATCAGCTTGCTTATATGCAGCTGTAGGAAGAGTAACAAAACACATTGCAAAATCAGTAAAAAGAGCAAACATATCAGGGAGATAAAAAAAAAAAGGGGTTGAAAAAAAACAGATGCGATTGGACCTTTCATGTCACGGGTGTGCATGTACTCAATGAAAGCATATCCCTTGGGTTTATTGGTCAGCTGATCAGTCACCAAATGAACCTGAGAGGTTTTAGAAGAGGACAATTAACAAATCAAAATCTGTGAGAACAAAATCAGATTCCAGATATAAGTGTTTCATATCAAACAAACATGCAGCTCTATAAGGCAGGCAACCTTTATGTTGTGTCCAAATCCGGGAATGTCACCACCCACATCAAGAATTGGCAGAAAAATGGATGTATTGCAGCAAAAATTACCATTTCTGAAGTGTCTAATAAACCACCCCTTACCAGGGTATTAAAACTTACATAACTAGAAATGTATTAAAAAGCGAACCATTCACCTTCATAGTAGCCCAAGTCTCAGATACTGAATATTTATAGATGTTAAGATAGGAAAAGAGAGAAAGGTTTCTGATACTCCAACCTTGGTTGCTTGAAAATAAAACATTTTCTTTGGAACAGAATGGCTTTGGGATATGGGCAGAAAAGATTTTATAACTTGCTTACCAGGATGAGTTGAGCTCATTATAGATTCAGAAAATACCTAATCGATTAGGTAAACCGTGTACCTACAAGTCTACAACCTCTATAGCATAGCAAAATTATTTGTTCTCTGAAGGGACAAGGAAAAAAAAACAACTATACCAAGTCATGCGCCGAAAACATTTCAAGCAAACACCTTGGAGAGCGGAACTTTGTGACATTATACAAGAAACACTTATGCAACTATACATTCAGTTATTTGAGAAAGATCTAAGAGACTTGATGGCTTTACAAAGTCTAAAGAAGGCATGCAAAGCAATTCAAAAGTAGAATGGCCTTTTGGTCTAGCAGAAAAGATGCAAACTTACAAGGGAGTGAAAAATTATAACCTAGGAGACTTTTGTACGTAAAATAAAACATATTGAGCAAAGAGCTCTAGAGAGGGAAGCCATTACACAAATTCTTACCGAACCAGCAAGGGAATGCTCAGAATAACCTACCCGTTTAATTGGTCCATAAGATTCAAACTCCCTTTTAATCTTACTCTCAGAGGATTCGTAGTTCTGCAAGACGATAACAGGCCAAAGTTAAGCACAACATAACTCACCTGTCTAACAAAAGTCATTCAACACTAAGAAAAAAATTGAAGCACAACTTACAAGTCTTGAAACGAACAATGTCTTGTATGGATCTCCAGTAGCATTTGGATCATTATTCGGGTCATCTGCATATAAAAATTAAAATTAACTTAGAATTCTCAAACTTAAGAGGGCATTAAAAGGAACACAAATAACATATAGTAGATTACATTTCTTTAAGTCCTCAGCAGCCTTTTCAACACCTTTCTCCAGTCGTAATTTATGAATTCTCTCCCTTTTCTGCGACTGGACGGCGAAACAAAAAACAAGACTATAAGCCACTGAATTGGGGGTAAAATATGGCAATAATCAAAACAGTTTAAGGTGCATCATACAGGTAATTCAACTTCTGGCTTAGGTGGAGCGTATTCTGGATCCCCAGGCTCAGCAAAGTTACTCACAAACTGAGCCATACCTAAAAAAAAATACACAAAGACAAACTCAAATCCAAAGCTCGTGAGAATAAAGTTCCAAAACACAATGACAGATATACAAGTTGAGACCTGTATAAGGCGGGCACTTTCTCTTCTCCGGTGGTGGTTTGTACTCCAACGGCGGCCGTGGCTCAAAGAGCTTCAAGAGATTGTTTGTTAAGCCAGTAGGGTGGCTTTGACCCATCTACAAAATACATAAAGATACAATGGTATATCAACTTTAAAGCAACAAGAAATCTTCCATGAACAAGCCTTAAATCATTCAAACTGATTCAAAACCCTAAAACAAGCTCAAGAATCTAGATCAATATGATACAATCATCTAACCTAAAAATCGGAATCTCAATTCGATTTAGAACTAGATGATGAGTGTTACAACGCAATCGAATATAGAACCGAAGCAAGTATCAAACGAATTGAGTATTCAATTGAAGAAGTAGAACCATTAGCTAGAACCTAATAGACAACGAAACTAAAATCTAGAGAGTAATCACGAATTCAACGAATTTTGAGAAAAGAGACGAACCAGCTTAAGCTGAAGAACATTGGCTCTGTTCTGAACTTTAGCGCGGGCCTGAACGGCGGCGTTAGGGTTACGCATGAAAGGATCGCCGGAGTCTCCCATGGCGACAAAGAGATCTCGGAGCTCTGCTAGGGTTTTTCGTGAAGGAAGCGGATGGAGGATTTTGCAGAGAGATGAAAAAGTAACAAAACCCAAATTCAATCTCAAACCGGATTCCGATTTATTAAGAAAACCGAGTTGAGTGAGATCCAACAGATCACGATACGTTAAAACGTTGCCGTGTTGGTATAACCAATGCAACCCACTTACTGAACAAGAGGGTTATATCAGCTTCGATTTTACATTTTTTTTGGGTCTTGGTTAACATGTCATATTGGTTTTGGGCCGGTCCTAAACAAAGTCCAAACATGGGCTTTGACTGTCAAATTTTTCTAAAATCCATCAACAAAGAATTACTAAAATAGATTATAATTTTATTTATTTTTACAATAATATGCTCTAATTTCTTAAATCTTTTTATAATAACCTTAGGAAAAAAATTAAGCATTTCGAAATGAACATCACTTTCATAGGATTTGGCTCTCCATCCAATGCCTTTGTTAAGTACTCCCTCTGTTCCTAGATATTTGATGTTCTAGAGTTTTAGTTTGTTCCACAAAGTTTGATTTTTTAGGTTTTTGTTTTATTTTTTATTGATTAAAATTAATATATCGTAAACTTCAAGACGTAATGATTAACTGTTTTCTAATACTATTGGTTCAAAGTTATTAAAAAATATTTAGTATAAAAAAATAATTGACAAATAATTAAACAATGATTGCTTCTTAATATATGTGAAAACTTTAGAACATCAATCTTCTAGGAACAGAGGGAGTATGATGGAACCGAGGTTTGAGATCTATTGAACTTGACAGGCACACTTTTTACCATTGGTCTCACTAACAATGTTGTTGATGTTGGTTGCAACATCAATGCCTCTTTAAGAAAAATTAGGCTAAGAATAGTTGGTTGCGTCTCCACTTGTGCACAAGAAGCGAGAGTGGATAAAAAAAGGTTGCAATGGTTACATATGCTGTAGAAAGAAAGCCTTGTGTGATCGGACATGTAACCGGTCTCAATATAGAAAGTGATAGTACAAACAACAGTAGGAGGGTGAAAAGTGGCATTTTTAACGGACGAGTTTGACAAAACCCGTTGTCAATTCGACAGACCAGCTACAATGGTCAATTCGAACTGTGAATCTCTCATCTGTCGGGTGCTCATATCACTGTTGCAAGTGCCATAACATGACGGATTATGAGTATGAGATTGGATATTCAACTTGTGCATGTTCCAGTGGTTACAACGGTAACCCATATCTTTTAGGTGGATGCAAAGGTGAGAAACTGACTCGTTTTGTTTTCTTGTATCGTGGAAAAAGTTTGTTTATTATAATTATGTGGTTTTTCATATCTACAGATATCGACGAGTGTCGAATGTTCAACAATAATTGACGTCCTAAATATTGTGGTAGAGGTAGCACGTACGTGTATTAAGTATTAACACTATAGAATTAAGTGTGATTTCTCATTAATTTGTCGCGAAAGAGAAAACAAATAGCCGATGTTTGGATGAGCTCAACGAGCTGATAAATGGAAGAATCAATGAGGATTATAGATGCATATGATATATGAAGATGATGTTGAATCGAAGAATCAATGAAGAAATTTGAGGATAAGATAAAGAAGATGGATTTTCTGTTATTCACTTTTCCGAGAAAATCAATGAAAAAAAGCTTAAGAGCTCTGATACCATATTAACACTTTAGAATTAAGTGTAATTTCTCATTATTTGTAAAGTGAAGGTACAAAGAGTATTTATATGTACATGAGTAAGGTATTAGTATCAAGCTAAAGGAGACTTAATACTAATTTCTCTATACTCTATATATTAATAACGTCAGGGCCGGCCCAAACAATTTTAGTGCCTAAAGCAGAAAAAAATTTGGCCCACTAAGAAAAACTGTTGGAAAAAATAAATACAAGTAATGTCAATGTTAGGAGTCGAACTTGCCACTTGAAGAGAGTATAAAAGTAGACTCAACCACTACACCACTACAACATTTTCGGAAATTGATGCCCCTATAAAGTTAATAATTTCTTGATGCCTGAAGCCCTTGCTTCACGGGCTTTAGCCCCGGGCCGGGCCTGAATAACGTGTGTTAACACTCTGGGAGGGTATCATTGCATGTTCCACAAGAACAAGACGTTGCCAATTATCATAGGTATCCAATTTTATCATTCAAATTTATGTATTCATAAATGGGATTGATGACTCGCTTTGGGAACTGCGTTTGGCCATCGTTAGTAGACATTGTTGGAGCCTTGTCGCACCTGAGATTAGGCGCCTCTATCAAAATCTATCACATATACATAAAGATTTCTAAATGTGGATGGTAGGATTGTCGTTGTGAAGAGGTCTACATGAAGTTTTAAAAACTATATCAAATTTTTTTGTTGTTCTCGCTGTGTAGATAGTATACAAAGTTTTTAGAATCCGCACACATAAATTCTTAAAAATGATATCAAAATTTCAAATCATGATGATTATAAACATATAGAATTATTTTTTAAATCCATGATCGATTGAGCAACACCCATGTTTCCCTTATAACTTTTTAATTATTATTTAGTTAGCCAATAAATAACCATCTTTTATTTACAATGTGGTTAAATGATTCCACATTAAAATTCATCCAAAAAAATGTTGTACATTTATATGCAATAAATAAGCAAAACATAAGGTAATTTAAAGCAAAATTAATACATTTTCATGAATCGCAATTTTGACGATGCTTTCTAGTGCTTTCCAAAACTAGAATCGTATTGTCGATGAAACTTTCGGGCAACACATGACCATAAATATAATGACCATGATAGATATCTCATATAACTGATACTAATAAGTTGTAGCATACTAGCATATACACCATTGCTCTTGGAATTGAACAATTTTAAGCTGTAAAAAAAAAGAAAAGTGAATACATAAACAGAGGAATGTAATAAGATTATAAGAATAATCAACCAAGAATTTGGAAACAAAAACTACTTGCTGCAGTAAAACAATAAAATCTTACGTTCTTCTTTCTTCATTCAAAAGGAAAATCAAACGGGAAATGAAAAATAGAAACTACCGTTGTTACAAAAATTGTTAATAAGTTTCTACGATAATGGTGTTTGCGTAGAGAAAAAAACTTCGCGTCGAGATATTTGGGGGAGGCATTATTGGTGGAGAGGATGATGATGAAGATCAGATGGTTGACCTAAGACTAAGTGAAATAGTGGTTGCGACAAATGACTTCTCCGACGAAAACAAGTTAGGAGAAGGCGGCTTTGGTTCCGTGTACAAGGTAATAAGCAAATATAACAATTGACCTCGTAAATAAGATCAGAAGTTGATTGATCCTAGAAAACTTTTGTTTTACTTTTACTCAATCTATGATTCTAAAGTTCTTTACCAAACGGTTATAGTCGAGGAGTTTATCCATGTTGGTCAAATATAGGAATGATCTATCCCTCACTTTTAATACAGTATTGTCATAATGACTGATTCCACAATTTCTCAAAGTTTCACCCTAAATAATGCTAAAAATATTTGCCGATTGATTTTGACCGCAGGGAAAGGTAGCAGCAAATGGGATGGATATTGCCATCAAAAGGCTATCACCAAACTCAAGGCAAGGTCTGTTAGAATTCGTAAGTTATTATTTTACACCCAGAGGTCTGGGGTTCGAGTCCCAGATACTGCGATTTATTAATAAATTTGCACAGATTATTGGAGGCAAGTGTGTAGAAGTTCTCCAGCGATGTACAATTATAGCCGTTTGCCAGGATTCTACGCATAGAGAGAAGTGTCCATCAAGAACATGAAGAAGAAGGTGAAGGAGGTGAGCATGAAGAAGAAGACGAATGAGATGTCGTCTGTCGTGGATCTAATAAGGGTCGGAAGGAATTGTCCTTTGTAGAATCGTCTATGTACCAGTTCTCATAATTTGCAATAAATAATAAATCCAGACGATAAAAAAAAAGAAGGAAGAATGAATAAAATTGAGGTAAAATTCACATTAGATTTTAAATGGATTTGAAAGTACAAAAATAAAAGGATTTAAATCTATGGGTAAACCATGTTATTTTAAAATTCATATGTCTCATTTCAAAATCAATGAGCAATGGAAATTTTTGAGAATTGCCCATTTTGATGTGTTTTTTTTCAAATGTCCCTTTTAGATGTCCATTTTCAAAAATATCTCTCATAAAATATGAAAAGTTTAAGTTTTATAAGGTTTATAATAAAGTATTTCTGGATGATATTTACTACTTGGATACTCGATCAAAGTATTTATAAAGTAATTAATAAAATTTTACAAAGTATTTTAAAAAGTTTTACAAAGTAATTATCAGGTTAACAAGGTATTTATAAGGTATTTGTAACCGTAGAATAGTACAAAACGACTATTGGAAGCAAGAGAAAAAACGATCTGAATGTGAAAACAAGAGAACCAATGTCTTTGGCCGATTTCTAATACTCTTTTTTGCCAAAATAAAAAATGGTGTACGTGAGCAATATCTAGAGCTTTCATTTTACATTAATATCCAAAATTTGTCTGTTTTGATCCATTAATTTGATTTTCTCCGAGCTTTACAAGGTGTTGAGACTCCTTTAAAAAAATTCAAAAATATTTTGCTGATAAAAACAAAATTGAACTAATTAGTTGTTGCTCTTACTGAAATATATATATATATATATTTAAGTATCCTTGAAGGATGAGTTTGGAAGTCTCGGAACCAGGCTATTAGTATAGGACTCCGGAAAGCGTCAAGTTATTAGAAACTTATGATGAGGTATTTCTAATGTGTGTATGTCAAAGCTAATTATGTTGTTGCTTTGTAATTTCTTTTTAGGAATTTTTATCTTGTTTAGCCTTATTTGTTGCTTTATGTGTTATCTTGTAATCTCATTTATCGCAAGGAACTTGGGGATTTTGTTGGTAGAACTTATCAATGTGTTTATGTTGTATACTTAATACTTGTATATACATAATTATAAACGTAATCAAGCACATGTACAAACAACCAATCGTAACTTAAAAATTTCATTAATAAACTTAGCTTTTGGTTAGTGTAAGAAGAAAGCACATAAAGAGAATAACTAATACTTGAGATTCATTATGTTAGACATCAATAGGGAAGTTGACTAGGGATATTCCCCGGAGGATCATAGCTGCATATGATCCAGGGTGTATCAATCTGACACCTCACCGAGTCACGTTACACAATCTGAGTATAATCATCGCACACACACATTCACGAATTGGTGTCATAGCTTACCATATCCAATACTTAGTTGCGACGGGACCACTCATCCCAGAATCCAGATTATCCCCGACGGCGCCGTAGGGTCCTCCCAAGAGCACCACGGCGTAGTCATCGATACATTTGTTAGCAATCCTCTGTGCATAGGCTGCAAGAGTCTCGTTCCACTCCTTGAATTTTATCTAATTTGGCTATTTTCTATTAAATCAATAATCTCTGTCCAAGTTGCGTTAATGGTCAGTGAAGTTCGTGCTGTTTTTTTTTTTTGTCAGAACAAATGTTATTGCTTTGTAATTTTTCTATCTTGTTTAGCCTCAAATGTTGCCTTATGTGTTATCATGTAATCACACTATAGCTAAGGCAAATGAATTAGGTAAAACCCGTTCGATCATGAAAGATTTGTCGAGCCACGATGGCTATATGTATAAGTGAGTGTCGTGGGTTGATTCCATAGGATCACAAAAGCACAAAACGATGTCGTGTTGTTATAACCGGGTCACACTTAAACCCTCTTACAGAACAAGAGAGTTTATCTAGCTCACACTTTACCATTTTGCCGACCAGTTTTTGTATTGTGGGTTATGATTATCAAATGTTCTCATTAAATTTTATAATCTCTGCCTAAATTGCGAATATGGTCAATGAAAGCAATTATTAATTTGTACTTTATTTCTACGACATTACACGTGGTTAACCAAAACACTGGTCATTAGGAAGTGGACCAGGAACCGACCCATTATCCAAGAACTGAAGACCGAACACCACAAGAATGGCTAGAACCGACAGATACGACAAGCCCTCTACCGCACCCAACAAACCAAACGGCCCATTTGGCAGACCCGACCCGGTTTTTGTCTTGGTGTACAGAGACCAGCCCACGATGCCAACCACCACCAAGTAGCTCACACCTTCCAACGCTCCGATTGAACCGGCCGGTCCTGGAGGTAAGCCACACCCTGTGGTTTTGAGAGTGTAGAGGGACCATCCGATAACCGGCGTCGAGACTAAACCACCGACTATAGCTGCCGTCTCCACAACTCCGCCAGTGTCGGTATTTTCCTTGGCCTTTGCTACGACCTTACCTAACGGCTTAATTGATCGCCGGATCAAATTTCCCCGGTGAAACGACGGTGGAAGAGAGGCAGAGATCGGAGATAGTAGAAGCATTTTAAGAGAGTGAGAGAGAAAAGGTAAAGAGAGAGAGAGAGAGAAAGATTGGATTTTGAACTCTCACCAGTTACCACACAAAATAGCAAAACTCTCTGCATAAGCTTTTAAGAAGAGCCTTGACGACCGTTTGATCTTAATGCATCACACACACTACGACAATCCAAGCAAAACCATCCTGACCAATCATGGTACGACATGTGTAAGTGTAATGGATGTAAAACAAAAGACGATATAACTCAAAAGATTTATCCACATAAGCATTCTTACAAGACCCTCTAACAGAGAAACAAGGTCTCGAAACTCTTTCTTTGTGTTTTTGTGTTTTTTCTTTCCCTCCATAAAGTGAGGTTTCTAAAAGGGCGGTAAATCCAAGCTGAGTAACCGTCATTTGAAAATCCACCAGCCTGACCATAACTAACATTTGAACATTCAGATATAGCCGCCTTAATCAAGAAGGAGCAGAGCATTTCTTCCATCTAAAACTCATCAAACTAGAGATTCTGATCTGTATGTTCAACCTTCCTCATCATCAACACCATCGTCATCGTCGTCGTCATCATCATCATCATCGTCGTCCTCACCATCATCATCGTCATCTCGTTTTCTCTTTGGGCGAGATGATGATGGCAAGGACAGGTCAGGGATTGGCAGGTCATCTTCGACTTCTTCTTCTTCATCTGGATCATTGTCCTCATTGATCGGCTCGATATCACTACCCACAGCATCATGATCTTCCACTTGAGAGACTGGCTGAACAAGGTACCCTTCACCGGATTCTTCATCCTATCAAATTCATCAAATACAAGGTCAGCCCTAAACCCAAAAGCAACAGTTTGACAAATCAGAACCTCACGCATGGAAGCATTCCAGCATCACAAAGAGTCACGTTTGGCGATTGTCTTCACGAAACACAACAAGGTTAACTGTAAATCTAACATGATACCTTATGCTAACACGACAGGGTACTTCGTAAATATAACCTCATACTTTATGCAGCAAACAAAACAATGCAAGACCGGACTGGTATTCTAAACCAGTAACAAATTTACGATACTAAAGTCCCCTCTTATATGTCCTCTATCAATCACCAACGTTCTCATATCTTTCTCTAAATAACAGTATGACAGTGAACTTAGGCACAAAAAATTATAAAAATGAGGTAGTAAGTCTATCAGGAACCTATCTGCGGCAACTACGAACCATTGAAAAAAACAAGAAAAAATTAGTGAAACTCAAGCATTGCATTCAAATATCAAAAACTGCATTAGATTTTGAAGTACCAAGTATCTCACCTCCTCTTCAACATCAAAATCTTCATCCGCAAACTCTCCATTGTCCTCAACCCCTTGGTCATCTTCCCCAGTCTCACCATCACCGTCTTCATCGTCATCCCCTTGCTCATGCCCATCAATCTCTCCTGCGTTCATCAACCCTGTGCTCCCTGACCCACCAAGACCACGATCATCATTATCAACTTCCTCTTCCTCCTCATCCTCTTCATCATCTTCTTCATCATCAACCCCATCTTCCTCATTATCACTATCTTCAATCTCATGCACCTCAACCACATCATTATCTTCCCCTACTTCCTCCTCATCAATCTCCTCACCAGACTCACTATCATCCCCATCATCTTCCCCTACTTCTTCCCCATTTACAGCTTGAAGACGGAATCCATTAGGCCGATAACTCGTCCCGTTAACTCCAGCAGCCTGCTCTGACTCATCATCCTCTGCATCACTCTCTTCATCATCATCAACATCCACAACCCCATCTAGCCTTTCACTATGCCCATTACTCATCCGAGGAGCCTCCGCTCTTTCATCTCCATCAATCTCCCCACTTCCAGGATCCTCCTCATCACCTTCCTCCTCCTCCTCTTCATCCTCCTCATCTTCCTCATCATCTTCATCATCAGACTCAGGCCTCTCATTCCCTTCAGCATCAGTCTTATCTAAATACTTCAAAGTTTTAATCAACCCAAAAACCCTAGATCGATAATCCTTAACCCTAGTGACAGGACACTCATACAGATCAAGAGACACAAGCTTCAACTCCGCCAAAGGAGCTAGATCCTCAACAAACTGGATCCGGTTATTAGACAAATCCAAATCACGCAACGAATCAAGCCCAGCTTCAACAAGAAACTCCAAACCAACAGTGATCCGATTATCAGATAAGATTAGCTTCTGTAAATTACCAAGTCTAGGAAACTGCTCCAGCGAAGAAACACCGATGTTAGCTATAGAAAGATGCTGAAGATTCTGAAACTTCTCGAGAACATTGGGCGGTGGTAAACGTCCCTGAACGTATTTCACAGCACCATCAAGTGTTAGCGTCCGTATAGCTAACCTATCTGTTTGACCATCTAGAGCCGCTTCCACAGCTTTATCCCAAATCTCATCCATCAAAACCAAACCCACCTTAAACCTCACAAGTCACGTCTCTCTGAAAACAGAGAACAGCTTCGAAACTCGCGGAGAAGAAGATTTCACAACAGAGCGAAGAAAGGGAAAAAAGAGGGTTAAAACAGAGGAAATTGTTGAATCTCGATGAAGGGTATGAGATGATTAGAAGAACCCAGAATCAAAAACCCTTTCTTTTGGAAAATTTTTCTCAACCGGAAACTCTAATTTACACGGTCACCACCAGTCGCCACCAAAACCTCGTGAGGAAGACGAAAACCTAACATTGTTTGGGCTCTTAATTGATTGAGAAATTTGGGTCGGGTCGGGTTAAAAGTGGGGACGGGTGGGTGGTTTTGAGGAATTTTGTGTGAATTATTTATTGCGTTATTAACCGTTGGATTAAGATGTTTAGGATCGATGACGTGTCGTAATGAAAGGTGTGGATTGAATTATTTTGTTTTGGTTGTGTAGAAGGACGTAAGGAGGATTTGGATCTGGACAATTTCGACACGTCTCTGTTGTGTGCAACTAATTGTGGACCCCTTTGTTTGACATATTTACAAAAAAACGCCATTATCAATTTTATTCGAATAGTTTTTGTCAAATATAGAGAATCATTGTAACTTATGTATACATTTACATTTGTCTATTGAAATATAAAGAAAAACAAATAATCAAAAGAAACAAGAAACTACCAAGAAAATCAAGAAAGAGTACTTTTACGGAGTCAACATTTGAAATTTACAGTTTAAAATCGGTTTGGAAAAAAAAGTAATTAATCAACCGAAAATCCCCAAACCTTGAAAATCAACCTCCTTGACACATCTTTAGGGCATTACTAACATGTTTTTTTTTTTTGATAATTCAGGATAAATCTCTAGATCTATGAAAGAATCTAAGACTAATCCCTGGAGAGAAGGGTCTCATTTTACTAACAAAGTTACTACTATGCATAATTGATTTTGCGCTAGTTTTTTTAAATCGTCGTCATATTCATCAGTTTGGAATATACCACTATATGATTCTCGAACCAATGGACTCGTTATCTAATGCATGACGAAGCAATCTATCTTCAACATGAATTATGTTGTCGCTAATTAAATCGCATCCATAATTAAGTATATTTGTTTCGATTGTGATTATCTATGTTTGTTCAAATCAACAAATTACTAGCCTATAGTTAGAAGGGTTAGTTACGTTAGTTGATATCATAGCCATGTTAACCTAGTATCATCTCGACAAAAGTAATATTGTCATCGATGTCATTTTCCTATTGCATTAGACTCTGAATCTCTATGTTAAATATGGGAGGTTTTTAATACTACCGTGTTTTTTTTTTTTAAGTAATTCATTTATCTTTTCATTAGGAGAATAATGGCGAAAGTATTTTGTTTTTAAGGTTTTGTTTATAACAAAACGGAAATTTCTATCGTTCAAAAATCAAAACCATATTTGACATTTGTATAATATAATTTTTTTTAATATACGAATTTAAATCAGATAGTAATGCGACGACGATACTAACACAAATCTTTATATTTTGGGGGTGATTGGTAAGCACTTTTAAAGCTTTAGAAAAGTTTTAAGGTTTTTAAAATTTTTATTTTGCCAATCAAATTTTTTAAAGTCACGTAAACCTGGCTTTAAAAGTAAAAATAATAAAAATTAGGGAGACTCACAAAAATGCCCCTTTTTCAATACCCCTTTTCAAAAATGCCCCCTCCTTAATAGCTTCCCTGAAATTGACCATTTTACCCTTAATGAGGGTTTGACCTATTGAGGAACCAAATTGACCAAGACAAAATTGGGGAACGACGAACCAAAAATCTCGGCGGCTCTCATCACCTTCACCGCCGACGAACAAAAGGTCAATCTCCTGTCATCTTCACCGTCGTCGGACGATGCCATGTGCTTGATATTCACGCCGTCTCCTGTCACCACACCACCGACGAGACCAAAACCTCATCTTCAATCTGTCGAGAATCTTCATCTTTGCCGACCAGAGCTTCGCCGGGAGTTAAATCGGCGAGGATATCCTTCATCTATCGTCGTCGTCGTAGTCGATTTGGTCATCGATTTGTATCCGCAGTCCAAGATCCGAGTCTGTCTCAATCTGTCATTACCTCTTTCACATATCTGAATTGAGTTAGTCCATCAATTGATTTTTAAGAGATTCACTTATGTGTTTATCTATTTTCTCGATTTGGTGGAGAATAGGATTAAGAATTGGTCTAACTGTGTAATCTCCTCGATCTGGTTTCTCAACTTTCTGTAATCACACAAAAATCCTCTTTAATCTCATCTTCTTCGGTTTAAGTTTTATTTCACAGTTTAAGTTTTGTCAGTTGTGATTTCAAAATCGATTGTTGTTTTTGCTGCAGAGTGATGAATCATGGGATTAGATTATTGTTTATGTGCAGTGGATTACATTTTTTGTTTCCCGGAGAAGAAAGGCTTCTTGCATAATGGCCTAATGGGTACCTGTGTAAAATTTTAAGACTGGAGAAGATCTTAAGACTTGATGTTATATTGATTAGTTTGAGTTTTATGTGGTTTTGGTGTTTCTGATTTGTGTTCTTAAGAACTTTAGAATAACGATTGTGATTTGTGTTGTGGATGTGATCTAAAATATATTGTAAACTCTTTTAAATCCACGTTGTATAACCTTTAAAATACTTTGTAAAGTCTTTAAAATACATGTTGTCAAACCTTTAAAATACCTTGTAAAACCTTTAAAATTCACGTAACCTTTAAAATACTTTGTAAAACCTTTTAAAACCTTTAAAATACCTTGTAAAACCTTTAAAATATATGTTGTCGAACCTTTAAAATACATGTTGTAAACCCTTTTAAAATACCTTGTAAACCTTTCAAATACCTTTAAAATATCTTGTAAAATCTTTAAATTTTAAAACCCTTATAAAACCTTTATAAAATATTTTCAAAGTTTTATAACTCATCTTATACCGTATAAATACTTTGTAAAATCATTAAAACACCTTGTAAAATCTTTAAAATATCTAGTAAAATCTTTTAAAACACATTGTAAAACCTTTAAAATACATTGTAAAACCTTTATAAAACCTTTATAATACATTGTAAAACCTTTAAAATACATTGTAAAACCTTTAAAATACATTGTAAAACCTTTAAAATACATTGTAAAACTTTTTAAAACACATTGTAAAACCTTAAAAATACATTGTAAAACCTTTAAAAATACATTGTAAAACCTTTAAAACACATTGTAAAACCTTTAAAATACATTGTAAAACCTTTAAAATACATTGTAAAATTAACTTCACTATTTCATCAAATCACATGTATTGAGCCACATTGAGTCACTTGTATAATAATAGCAATCACTTTAACAATTAAAGCACTAAATATAACAATCAATAGTGTTACATGGAATTTTCTTAAGTTACAAACTTACAAAAGACACATAAAAGTTGAGTAAAAACTTTTTGGTACATAACAACATGTAACAAAATCATCATCAAATTTTCTTCTTTTCCAACTAATGGAATCGTATCAGAAGACGAGTTAGGAGAGTTTGGACATGTTTGATTCATCTGGTCAAGCTTCTTAGCAATGCCCAAAACTGCAGCGACTTTACGTGATTGACTACATCGAGGATGCTGGTCTTGAGGTGTTTTGCTTCAACCTGCAAGGACCTATGCTAGCTGAGAGTCTGTGCCATTTGTCATGGAACCAAACGTTTGAAGTGGAATAAATCAGAGATGATATACACAAAGTTGAAGCACTAAAATCATTAACAGTAAAAACAAACCTTTAAAAAAACATGTAAACCTTTAAAACACATTATAAAATCCAGAAGTTGAATAAATCAGAGATGATATACACAAAGTTGAAGCACTAAAATCATTAACAGTAAAAAACAAACCTTTAAAAAGCATGTAAAACCTTTAAAATACGTTGTAAAATCCAATGGGTCATTGTTAGATATCTGCTTAAAAACCAAGCATTAAAAGTATAAAACCATATCCAGTAAAAACAAAAGCAAAAAAGTTTAAGAGAAACAAACCTTTAAAAAGCATATAAGACCTTTAAAAAATGTTGTAAAATCCAGAATTCAAAATCAAGCAGTAAAATCAATCATTAATAGTCGAAAATGATATCAAAAAAGCTTCTAAAAGAAAAACCTTTCACAGAATCACATAATCTAACCTGTAAAAGACAAACATTTCAAAACAGAACCACATAACCACAGAATCTAACCTCTAAAGACAAACCTTACAAAGAATCTAACCTGGAATCGATGTGGGACTCGAAAACTGAACGAAAAGGGGACAGAAGAGGAATCTAACCTGGAATCGATATGGGACTCGAAAACAGAAGGAAAAGCGAAATCGGAACAGAGATAAGAGATCTGAAATGAGAGCGAGATCGAGATCTGTAATCGGAATCGAGATTTGAAAACGGAATCGAGATTTGAAATCGGAATACTCGCCGATCAACGTGAGAGAGCGAGAGAGAGAGAAGAGATGAGGGAACCGATAGTTCTTAGGTTATGAAAGGAAGGGTAATTTAGTCATATTAGAAATAATTAAGGGGCATTTTTAAAAATGGTAAGCAAAAAAGGGCAATTTTAAAAAAGGGTGTGTGAAACAGGACATTATTAACAATTTCTCTAAAAATTAATTGTTTTCCTTATTTTTTTTTCCCATTATATGAAAACCTCTAATAAAATTCATTGGAAAATTAATTTTTAAAAAAGTATTAACTAATTTACAATTATTTTTTTTTCTGTTCTTTTAAGATCTATTTATGTATATATAAAAAAAAACATTAGATATTACATTTGATACAAAAATAGAGAAATATGAATGTATAAAAACATTTCATAAAATACTTTGTATAAATTTCGTTGTTATATCACAATTTGGGTTTATATTCACTGTAATTTATTTTGTTTAAAATCATAATTTTTACAGCCACAGTTTCTACAGTTTTATTGTTACCAATCACATTTTAACAGTTAAAGTCTCTAAAATTAAAGTCTCTGCAGTCAAAGTTTTTACAGCCAAAGTCCTTACAGCGAAAGTCTCTATAGCCGAAAGTAACAGTCGTTACCAATCGGCCCCTTTGTATCATGGTTA